ATCAAACATTTAAAAAACACACACTCATGAGAAAGCTATAAATAAATCTCCGCCACATATTTCTTGAATTGTAACTTGTAAGGTACCTATATATGCATTGTGATATTGTGTGTGTGTATATACTGTATATATAGTTCCATGAAGACATGGTGTGTTAAGGTTGAAGTGGAAGACCATGAGTGTCCTGCACAGACCACCTTTGGCATGAACTAGAACGCCACTACGTGCCAGGCCTCCTCGCTTAACCTCAGTGGCTCTCCTCACTAATGCTCTTGTGGCTGAATGAACAAAATCCCCACAGCCACACTCCAAAATTTAATGGAAAGCCTTCCCAGAAGAGTGGAGCTTATTATAACAGCAAAGGGGGAATAAATCTGAAATGGGATGTTCAACAAACACATACGAGTGCGATGGTCAAGTGTCCACATATTTTTGGCCATATAGTCTATTTTACCATGTTGGAAAGTAACTATGACAACGATCATAAGTAACGATTTGGGCTAGTCCAATATTTACGCTTTGTAAATTTGTCTGATGTGGAGTGATTCAGAATGTGAGTGGCAACAGCACAGAGAGGAAAACTCATTCATCCATCCTGTTGCTGAGTTCTGTACTGTGTGTGTGTGTGTGTGTGTGTGTGTGTGCGTGTGTGTGTTTGTTCACACATCAGCCTATCTCAGCCACACACAAACGCACCATGTGGCATCTAACTGCTCCAGTATGGGGAAACTATATCCCTCTATGTGTACTAAAGACGGAAACAAAAAACAAATGGTGAACAAAAAAAAACTCGCATCATTTTTCTTTCTTGAATAAATCTGGCCATTTTTCACATTCAGATGCCGTTGATGTTTTGGTCATGTCTACAGTGTCATAAGTGAGGTTAACAGTCTGTACAGTATTTCTTCAACCCCATGTGAAGCATGGCTCTAAAATCCTGTAAAAACATACAAAGCCAAATGGTTAGATGCTAGGTTCAAAATGACCTTTGCACAATTTCACTCTTACGTCTAAAGTGGTAAGTCATGAAATACTTTTTTTGATGTCTGCTTGTAACAGAAGTTTGAGTTTAATGATGCTAACAAGTAGTGGAAGCTTATTGCTACCAGTTTAGCATTTATTTAACTGCTTTATCCTGGTCAGGGGCATGGTGGATCTGGAGCCCAGGAATACTGGGTGCAAGATGGGAATTCACCTTGGATGGGACACGGTGCATCATTTATACACACACACACACACACACACACACACACACACATCTAAGGGCAGTTTTAGAGTAGCCTAGAGCCTAGTAGTCTAGAGTAGTGGGAAGTGGGAGGAAGCTGGGCTATCTGGAGGAGACCCACACAAACAGTAACCAGAACTCAGGATCAAACCCCAGATCCTAGAGGGATCAGGCGATAACACTACCCACTCTGGCAGCAGAATAAGTTCATATTAAAAATAAATATACAAAAAAAAAATGGAAGTATATAAGTATTGACTGCTAACGTACAACTCCGCCAAATTTGGACCACATCTACTATCGGAGACTGGACACCAAACTATGTGCTGACAATGAAACTGATTCAGCTTCAAAATGAACTGCTAATGAAAGAGTGTAGGGGGGAAAAAGGAAACAGTAGCAGATGGATGGAGAGATGAAGCGAAGAAGGAACAGAGAGAGAGAGAGACATTGCACAGAGCCATGAGCACTCGTTAACTTGCTCTGAATGTTTCCTCAGATCTGAGCCGCATGACAGTGAGCGTGTGCAGGAGACCTTGGTGGTCCACAATCCCCTCTGCTTGAGTGGACAAAGTCTGGGACTGTAGAGTCCAGCATGGCACCAGCAGTGTTTACCATCCACAGACACCCCGGCTAAACAGGAAGAGACGGGAGACCGAGTGTGTCCCTGAATGTCTCTGGGTTTCTCTGTCTGTCTCTCTTTCTCTCACACACACACACACACACACTCCCCATGCACACTGGTTGATTCTTTCATTGAGACTTCCAGTAAACCATAAATATACATATTCACCAGCAAAATTCTGAAGCTGTGTGCTACGAACTTCCTTTCCTTTCTTTTCAACCATGCCTACATATGCCACATATAATCAGTTGTCTTTCACCCTCACTCTGAACAAGCTCCAGCACCCCAGGAAGTCTGGTCAGGAAGTTGGCACACTGACTTTTACCCCATGTTTTTATTCATTCATTCATCTTGAGTAACCAACTTGGAGGAAAGTCCTAACTGCCTTCTTCTGCATACATTAGCTCACAGATGCCCACAATTGGTTAATATTGCTGATTGACAGGTGAGAGAGCACTGCCATCCCTCCCACCCAAAGAACATGGCCAGTATTGCTCACTTGGACCCCTGGTCACGGATTGCTGTCTCATAGTCGGGATTCACCCTCTCAGTGCCCCACCAATAGGGCAGACACTTTTCTGTTGCACCACCCAGAAGCCCCAATTTGGCACACTTTACAGAAATCATTTTATATTAGTTACTGAGAAGCTTCATGATGCTAAATCAGACTGGACCTCTCTGCAGTTAAATACAATATTCTCCTGTCCATTCTCAGCAGCTTTGGAATAACAGTGTCCTACCTCAAAGGGTGCTCATTTTGGATCCTCATCTGCTCCATGCAGACTCTTCAGTGGTGCCCCTCAAGGCTCAGTGCTCAGATCGTTTCTCTTTTCTTACTATGCCTCTTCTCTTGGTGATGTAATATCTTCTACACAAAGCTCTTCTCTTTCAAATACCCAGTTGGTTACCAGGCATTCATGGCTGACATCTCATTATGGATAGTAGGAAGACCAATCTGCTTCATAAGAACTCCCTGATCACTTCTTCAAAAATTGCACCTTGGTATAGCAATGGACGTACTTGTTCTCAGTTTCTCCTGCACAACATCATAAGCACTCAACATTTTCTCTGCAACTAGGCCACTCGGGTGCTTGTTCAGTCTCTTGAAATGGGCTTCCTCCACATGCCATTAATTCCTTGCAACTGATCCAGAATGCAGCTTGTCTTTAATCTCCCAAAGTCCACCTAGGGTACTCCACTGCTACATTCTCTCAAGTGGCTTTCTGTAGCTGCCCACATTAAATTTAAAACTGTGATGCTTGCCTCACAAAACCAAGAACGGTCCAGCCTCTTCCACCTGGTGGCAGTGGTCAAATCTTGCTCCGTAAGAGCCCTTTAAACTACAAGTACGGCTTGGCTTGACCCACGAGCCTTCAAGATACAAGGAAGATAAGCATTGAGACTGTTTTCTGTGCTGGTAGCCAGGTGGTGGAATAAATTCCTTCTAGTCCTTGCTGTCTTCAAACATGGGCTAAACACCCGTCTCATGTATCCACTTATGAATCGGCCCTGACCCCTGTTTCTGGCATTTTCTTAACTTGCTGGTATCTTTATACTTGGCCTGATCTGCAATAGCATAAAGATATGTTTGCTAAGTAGGCAAATAAGCTTGGATAAGTAAGGCTGCCAATGCCGTAAATACAAAATGTAAAATATAATTGTGTTGTGTAAATTGAGACTGCTGTAGGTGTCGTGTCGTTGAGTGTTTCACTTCTTACACAGAACTCTATCCATACACATGCGCACACACACGATGGTTTTACTATCTTTGTAAGGAATTTCCTTTGACTTGTGTATTACGGTAACTCTTGTAACTGTAACCACTAACAACAACCTCACAACCCAAAAGTAAATATTTTGGCTCTTTTATTTTTATTTTTTTTTTCAATTAAAAGCTGCACTTTGTGTAAAAAGTAATTTTCTTTATGAGGACCCCACAGTCCTGAAATTGTCACGTATCCCTGTCATTAGGGAGACATTTAGTCCTCATAAAGGGACAAATACATGGCCATACACCCACACTCCCATACATGCGCGCACACACACACACACACACACACACACACACACACACACACACACACACACACACAAACACACTCACACACAGACACATGGGTCTAACGAACCCACACTCTGAGACAGAAACACGAGACCCTCCAGTCATGATGTAAGATTCTCATTATCATCCATGTGTGTTTGTGTCTGTTCATGCACGCAAGTATGTGTGTGAGTGTGTGTGTGCGTGTTTACTTACATTCGCATGACGTCTGGCATTGTGCTTGTTTTCAAAGGCGATTTGTACACAGCGGATATGAGGAGATGAAGAAGTGTATTGAGGAGTGTGTGTCTGTGTGCGTGTGTGTGTATGAGGACTTCAATAGCAGGACTGTGAGAGCGGTGCAGCTCTGTTCAGTGTGAGAGCTGCAGTTTGACAGAACGGCTGCAGTCCTGGATCTCATCTCCATATGAAATGCTACGTTCAATCACAGTCGTGTGTTCATTGTGTTTTTACAAAATGATTCCACATGAATGGGCCACTCTTGTATTCACTACTACAGAAATCAAAGTTTTTTGATTTGACGGCTGCGAGTTCACGAGTCATGATGCAATGTTGACGTTTCTCAATATGGCAAAACCTATTCAGTGTTTGATGCTAAATGTGTACAGAATCCTTTTTTTTTTTTTTTTGAAATTTACCAACACATCTAAGGGAAATATCCCAGTGGTCTTGTATTGTTTCTAGCTGTTTGTAGCTGTTTATAGCTACATGCTAGTTAGTTAAATCCTAATTTTAAATTGTGCAATGTTATTTAGTTTTAGAAGTCTTTTTTTTAGTAATAAACCAACACATCTTGATCATTCCAATGAATTTGTATTGTTTATGTCTCTGCTCTGTTTACATTGTCCATGTAAAAAGTTTAACACCTACATACTGGCTAGTTAAAACACAAGTTGTGAAAGCCTGGTTAGCGGTTGATGCTACATGGGAATGTTGTTGTTCTTCTTTCAGCCCGGTAGGGGTCACCACAGTGGATCGTTGGTCCTCATATTTGGCACAGTTTTTACACCAGATGCCCTTCCTGACACAACCCTCCCCAATTTTATCTGGGCTTGGGACCGGCACTGGGAGTGCACGGTCTTGTGTGGTTCCCCGGCCGGGATTCGAACCCAGGCCACGGCGGTGACAGCACCGAGGCCTAACCGCTAGTCCTCAGGGACCTGATGCTACATGTGAATACAGTGTTATTTTATTTGTACAGAATGTTTTTTCTTGTTTATCTGTCAGTATATCTGAGAGAAATGTGGATATTTTCAGTGAGTTTGTATTATTTACAGTCTGTGCATTTACGTAGTCTGTGTAAAAGTCTTAATGGCTACATTCTAGCTAGTTACATTTTTAAAATTATTTTAACGCTAATAATCTTTTCTTTGTTATTCAGCAACGTATCTGATCTGTTATCTAGTTAAATTATACTTTTAGTTCTACAAAGTCTTCTCTTTGTACGTTACCAACACGTCTGAGGGAAATATTGATATTCCCAACGTTTACATTAATGACTTGGCTACGTGGTACATAGTTCAATCAACCTTTAAAACCAACAAATCTGAACGAAATGTTAATGTTCTCAGTTATTTCCATTATTTGCAATAGTTTTATCTTGCTTTCAGTCTCTTAGCTTTCACTTTGTTTGTATAAAATACTTTTTTGGCCTTGAGGTTAGCCTGGACAATTATTAGCCTCAGTCACTGGCTAGCTTGTTTCAGCTGCCTACTAAACGTGTTCCTCAGAGTGTATAATCAGACTGGTAGATAGATAGATGGATAGATTGGTCAATTAACTGGGATATATTACATATTATGAGGACCGCATTTTATAATTAAAGTTAATTATAATTCTTGTTTTAATTAATTAAATTATTTATATTTACCCAATATAGTTGTCCCCCCAGTGCTGTGCACACTTTAAAAAAGGGTACTTCAAGGGCTTCTTTGTATAGTTAAGGGTTTTTAGTTCCCTAAAAGACTTACAGTTTTGATCTACAACAGAAACATACTGTGTTGTAAGACTCTACATTGAACTTTAAGGATAAGGGTAAGAGAGCAGCAACCAAAGAATCCTTAAGTTCTTGGTATGCCATCTATTTCTACCCCATTCTAAGTGTACTTTTGATGCTATAATTTCAGTTCCCAATTGCACCTCACTGTGTAAGATCATGGGTTTACCCCCTGGGGTAAACTAGCAAAAACACAACCTGACATTGAAAATTTGTTTTTCTATTAGTGCTCACTGCTCTGTTTCTCTTGCCTGGTTTATGTGTGTGTAGAGAGAGATCTTTAGCGGAGGTCTCATAACATCCAGCTGCTGGCTCTGTTGCTCAGAGAGTCATCACATTTATCATCATGATCTGCTGTGACAAATTCCCTCCTTCACAGTAATCCGACACATTTTAATCACTGCTACGGCTTTGGCATTGTTTCTCCGTCTCGGCCCTACGGACGGCATGCACTTCACGCTGTAGTGTTTTCCCTGCTCTAACATTCAGCTCATGAACAGCTTGTTCACTGCTGGATGAGTTGAGTCAGGTGTGACAGAGTAGGAAAGCCACATAGCAGAACCACTCCAGCTGTGGAGTACACTTCCCTCTAGTCTGATTTATTCATGCCTCTTATTTTAAGCACACTAGAAAAATATATATATCGGGACCATTCTTGGACATGAGATTTTCTATATCATGCGATAAAATTGGTGAATGTGTAATTAGTGTTGCTGAGGTAAACAGTTATATGTGCTGACTGACGTTGGGCCCTTACAGAAGGATCTTAACACTTTTCTGGTCCAGGGGCACTATACCATGGCTGACGTTGTACTCTGAAGTCAGCTTTCTAACAAGATGGGATCTGTGAAGAAAATAATTTCACTGAATTATGCACACGTGTAAATGTATACATGTTGTCTGCTACGTAGAAGCTATATTTCACACTACTAGAAAATCCTAGAGTGAGACTAACCATGGATATGGGTTTTCCTGGGCCTTTAAGTTGACTAGCTAGCTAATGAACTTACTAACAAAATCCATTGGAACGCGAAAAACAGCATAACAAGAATGAACTTCCGGACTACAGCACTGATTTACTGTTGTACTAAGACCCAAACCAAAGTGCACTAATTTACATGTGCAATAAAACAGATTGTTCATGCAAAGTAGACGCCTTGTGGGTGACACAAATAAATGAGTGAATTGCTGTACATCGCATGCAATGTCAGGGGAAGGAAGGAATATCCTAGGAGACTTTAGGCAGTGAATAAAAGAGTGTAGACCTGAGTGTGCTTTGTTAATAAGGTACAGTGTATGTGAAGGAAAATCTTTTTAACTGAAGGCGCTTTTTAAATGCTGTTTGCAGTGAATAATAATATGAAGCCAGCTTTTCTGTGGTAATGATAGGCCACCACTGTGAGAAATCTCCTGATTATTTGACTTGATTATTTTACTTACATAATTTAGCTGAAGTCTCCTGTGTGGCAGAAACAGGCAGAAACCCTATCATCTGGAGGTCGCAAGTTTGAATCCTGGCTATGCCATAACTGTCCAAGATATCAAAATTGGCCGTGTTTTCTGGGTGGGAGGGGGCATACTCTCTCTCTCTCTCTCTCTCTCTCTATTCTGTCAGACAGAAAGATGCTAGACAACTGTGGGTATCTGTGAGCTTAGGTATGCAGAATAGGGCAGATAGCACTTTCCTCTGAGCATGTTTCATGCTTGTCGGGACACAGTTCAAAAGAATGTAGTTGGCTGGCTTCATGTGTCTTGGAGGAAGCTGGTTGGTGGGTGGGAATCGGTGAGGAGAAAATAGGGCAGGAAATTAAAAAAAAAAGCATAATTTAGATGAACTTTCTCATCATTAAATCAGAATAAAACAGTATAATTTTGTACTAAACAGGCTTCCACAATTTTAATACATGTACTCTTGACGTATTGATTTACGTATCAGTCGCCATTTGCATAGTGACTTTCAGGCTTAGTAAAGCACATTGCGGTGCAAAGTTATATATCTGCATTGACAGTTCCCAATAAAACAGACATGCCATGTTATTTTGCTCGTGTCAAAACCGCAGTCCTCTGTAGAGGCTCTTAGTATATCAGCTTCTGCAATTTTTGGCAGGGTTATTATCAAGTTTGCCAATGTTTTTACACACACAAACCTTTAATAACTCAGGGACTATATCTACACAAAATTACATTATACAGTAACTACAAAACCCTGAAACATAACATTGCAGAAAATATGTGAGAGAGGAGGGAAATGCTCAATGGGATCAGTAGTTCATGTCCATTGTGAGGGACATTAGGTGTACTGTGTATGTTTTGTATCTTTTGTCTTTTTTTCCATTTTTAAGCATTTTATGATTCATCTCATACAGTAGCTGGTTGGCTTGGGTTCAAAAACCTTTAGAAGACCTTTTATTTAGGAATTTTAGAGTTGGCACCAGTGTATAATGAAGTGTGTGTGTGTGTGTGTGTATGAGAGAGAGAGAATGAGAGAAAGTACTTTGCATGTGATCATTATGGCATCTGTGTAGTGTTTGTATGTTTAAAAAATTTTAGTGGCTTTAGACTTTTAAAGCCACTAATGTGTATGTATTGTTTTCGATTGCTTCGGGACCACCAGTGAAGTAATGTAGTATACTCCATTCTCCACTCTCTCTCTCTCAGGTAGTGACATCCCCGGCTGCATTTCAAATGTTTGATCCTCTCGATCCCCCCCCCCCCCTTGTCCGCTCTGTCCCTGCTGGGGCTTCACAAAAGCCCCCCACAACAAACCAAGTGCCCGCTACTGCCCCTTCAGAGGGGGCCAAGCGTCAGAGCGAATCGTGGTTTCACTCGTCCTCGGAGGTCTGCAGCTCCCCCAGAGAAGCCCATTCAGCCCGGGACCTAATGACCACTCAGGGCTCCATTCATCACCACAATGGGCTTCTACACGGCCATTGAGGAGGTCCACAATGGAGAACATCGCTCCAATTAAACCCCGGGGACAATGAGCGAGTGAGGGAGGAGAGAGGATCTTGTTGGGGTGTAAGGAGGGGGGACGGTGATGGTGAGAGTTCATCTGTGAAGCTCTGGTTCAGATGAGTGAGAGAAGGTGGGGGGCTCATTCGGGTAATGAGCATCCCCGGGCCGGGTGCATCTCACCGGAGGTCCTGTTGGAGTGGCGGCACCTCTGATGTGTTATTAGGATCAGTGAGGAGTAATTACTGGGCCATGGACCCTCCCTGCACCTTTAGAAAGGAAGGAGGGGGAGTCGGAGTAGATGGTGAAAGCTCAATGGAGATAGCTGTTACTCTCCACTAAGCTATATTCCTATCTTTACAACCAAAATGGCACAAATAGAAATAGCTGACATCCACAGTTCAATGTAGCAGGGTCTACGGTCCATCCTGGGGATTAGGGACTCTTTTCCACTTGCGGGTCCACAATAATGATCTTTGCTCTGCAGATTCCAGATACCTAAGATGGCCAATGTATATTTATCTATTCATATGTTCTTCATCATAATGTTAATCATCATAAACTGAAGTCAAACATGTACAGTGTGCTGATGGTGATCTACTTTTAATTACAGTGGTTTAATCCACCAACTTAATTTGGACATTTTTCTATCTTTGAGAACTACTAAAAAAACGTAACACTCTCTTTCTGAAATTTGGAACCCCATGGAATGAACGTCATGTTGTTGTGACAACACCAACCATTTCGAATGTCAACTGCTTTCACTTCCTTCAGCCTCAGAAACCTTTTGCTTTCACAGCTGTTGAAGGACTTTTGTCTGAAACTTCCTCCTCTGGGAACATTGTTCACTATGCTTAACTTTTTCACTATATGTGTATATATACACTCACTGACCACTTTACCTGGAGCTCCTGCACCCCTGCTCATTTATGCAATTATCCAATCATGTGGCAGCAGTGCAAAGCATAAAAAACATGCAGATACAGGTCAAGAGTTTCAGTTAATGTTCACATCAAACAACAGAATGGAGACAAAATGTGATCTCAGTGACTTTGACCGTGGCATGCTTGGTGGTGCCAGACAGGCTGGTTTGAATATTTCAGAAACTGATCATTTCCGGGGGTTTTTACCCACAACAGCCTCAATAGCAAAAAAAAAAACATTCAGTGGAGCCGCAGTTCTGTGGGCAGAAAAGCCTTTCTTATCAGACC